TTTAATAGAGATTAAATTTTAATAGAGATTTCATCTTAAAAGTTATCATTCACATTTTTTCGAGAACAAAAAAAAAATATGGGAGGCATAACGTTTTTAGAAACCTCAAGGTGGGGCGGGGACCAAAAAAGGTTGAAAATCACTGCTCTACACATTAGGAGCAAATTAAAGCTACAAATACAGGTGAAACTGAAAAGCGAAAACATGACACATTTCTCAATCAAACTTTATCACTCGAATTATGTATTGAAACCTATAAGTTCTAATTCTCAGATTAATACACACCTCCGAAAAAGTTGCAAAAATTATATTCATACTCGAGGGTCAATTCTGTTAATAATATCTCAAATCCTAGTTAAATGTTCTTGATCAAATGACCAGAAATTATTAGGTAAAATGAACATTTTGAAGAAAGAATTTGCCCAGATAAATGCAGGACAGTTATATTAAGAAACAAGACAGAAACTTCTATTTCAATTGCAAGAAGAACTTGTCATCAAATACTAACAAGAGCTCAACAGAAACATCAACCAATACTGAATCAAGTACACAATTCATTGAGAACATGTCGGTTATTTCTTATTATGGAGATTGTAAGACAAACAAAATCTGTCTAGAATGTGAAAAGTATGTATGCGAAAAATATGTATATTTGAGAAGCTGTTCAAAAAAAACGAACAAAAAAAAGTAAATCAAGTATTTTTTAATTTGTAGTAGAAAATATATTTTTAAACTTGTAAATGGATTATTAATCTCCTACTTACTAAAAATATAGGTTATGACCGACTGATAGGAATAGGCCGAACTTATAGCAAGAGGATCCTGAAATTATTCTATAATTTGCAATCGGTAGTGTAAGTTTCTATAAAGTGCGATTTGAATGATTTTCCCTTAAGTGTAAGAAAACGTCAGCAGAACCATAAAATTTAATGCAACAAAGCAATGAAAAATCACTTGAGGAACGAGAAGTTGAGATTTTCTTCACTTTCATTTTATTGTTAGTGAAACTAATTATCAAACCCCTTTCTCAAGTTATCAGAAATCTTGAAAATTCATGTAAAAAATGAAATATTGTTGATATAAAGTATCAAAAAATCAAAATTATCATTAAAAAATGAATGTATCCACTACTTAAGGCATTTATAACAAAGTTTGAAAGTACAAATAGAGAACCTTTGAAATAAAATGTAGTAAATGAGTTTGTCACAATGATATTCTTTTTATTTCTTGAGTGCATGAAGAATGCACAAATTGTGCACATGGGCTCCCCTATTACCGGATGATAAGTTGGCCGCCAAACTCGTCCTGGTCTTCAAGAACGCTTCTGAACATTTATAACCAACTCATTACAAACAATAGACTCACTCAGCGGATTGCGAACTATCAACAGAAATATGTACATATTGTAAACATCCATGTTCGAGCAATGATCATTGTGAACATCGTCTGGTAAATATCGTTATGTGAAGGAAATCATAAGACATCTCCAGAACCCATCATTACTTTACCAAATAAGTGCTCTGGTTGTAATTTTAATTATAGTTTTGTTTTTAAGTCAAGTTAATTTTCATACTACTCACTCAAATTACAAAGTATAGATTCTGAGACTCTTGAACTGTGATTACGGTTACAAATTATTTTCTCTTAATACTGCCCATAGATTATATCTATTTGAAGCTCAAATGTCAATAAGTCGGAGTTGAAGCTCTTATAAAAAAATGTATCTTAATTTGCTTCGTATATCTC